AAAACTAAGTTTTATTTAACATTTCACAAGGATGTGTAAATTTCATGGCCGGATTAATCCCCTCAGGGGGTCGCAGGGCAAAGATTTGTTGTTGGGTCGCTACTGACTCACTGTCACAGTTTCTTTATTCACCCAGACAGCAGCCAGGGGCCAAATTCACAAAGGATCCTGTTTCCAAAAGTGCGACTTTTTGAAATTTTCTCAGCTAAGAAAAGAGTTGACCCTGTTGTTTTGGATGACTCATGTTTCATAAATTAATATACTCATCAAGTCTAATCAGGTAAAACTTTGTGCTGTATGTTCAACATCCCTGCAGGCAAACTGGGCTCTAAATGGCACATTTAAGTTTGATAAATTGTTCTGAAAATGTACTTGCACTGTAAAGCTGCATTTTTTTTTTTAAATGACAAGTAAAGAACTGACCTCCAGTGTTACTGGATTGTGTCAGTTTTTGATGAGATCTCTTTTCAGCTCCTTCACCATTACAAAAGATTGAGGCAATGTCTTTGTAACAGCTTGTTCTAACTATACCTCTCCAGCAGCTCCAGCTTATGTGTATAGGTGCTATAGGTGCTGTACATGTTTGAACTTCTAACCCTAACCCTTCAAACAGAGGTGTGGAAACATGATACAGCTTTATTTTATTGTAAACGTTCACTATCAGCTCAAATCAATTGACTTGAGTTCTTTTGAGTTTTTCTTATAGGTGTTATATTAAGGGTGTGTTTTCGAGTTTCCACATTTTGTCAATATTTGTTACAAAGACTGAAGATTTAAAATCCAGGGAGGGTGTATTTGCTAAGAACTGCCTGTTGTCTTTTATCTAAGACTTTGGACTTCTTTGGTGCTAGTGCAGTCATGATAACCTATGATAAACTATTTATATCACTATTTCTACAGGGCACTTCACACTGTTTGTGTTTCCTGTGCAGAAATGTAAAACCTGACATGTCTAAAGTGCCTAGTTAGACTAGAGTAGAACAAAATACAAGTTTACTATTATTGCTAAATAACAACAAAGGGCAGTTGAGTAATCACTTCATTTAACACTCTGCCATGTTGTGAATTGAACTAAATTTAAATATATACTGTCAACAATCGTCAACATTATTATTCTCATCTGACAGGTTTTAACTGAGCAGTGCTGCCAAACAAAAAGGGAGATTTTAGCAATATCCAATCAGCTTAAAGTAATAAAACCACGTACACTCGTTCTCAAACGCTAACAGGGTTGCCTTAGCAACAAATTTCCCCCAAACACTGCCGGTGTAGTAAAAACACAGACATTACCACAATACGATGTACTCTTTTACACTTTTTTCATACAACATGTATTATATTTTAACAGTAGCACATTTGTCAGTACTTCAATCCGTTTATTTATTTATGTAACAAAGGTCTCTGCTGGTATAACACTTAAATAAATAATAAATTCTATTCAACAGTCTCAGAATAACAACAGACTAATATTAAGTAGTAAATTCACTTTAGGTTTATTTTTTGTATCAGAAATGGTAACAACTGCATTGTTGAGGAGTAAATATCTACACAATCTGGTAGTTCAGTAAAGTCCTCAGTGTGTCGTCTCCTCCTGCCTGAGTGAGTTTGAAATCAAACACTGTCACACGTTACTCTGTGGAAACATCGTCTTCGTTATATTACTGTTTTTCCCTGAAGAAGTTCATCCCATACTGCACGCAACCATCATTGTTAGTTTCTCTTACACACACACACACACACAGAGGCTAACCAAAACATAAAATACACAATGTATGTCAGCAGATATATGCAAAAAAAACATAGATTTCGGGAACGTAAAGACAAGAATGTTCAAGCAACATTGACATTTAAACACTTAGATGAGCAGCAAGTGTCCGGTTAGAGAGCTTCTACATACTGGTGTATTGACTGTAATGGTTCATACAACAGTATGTAGAAGCTCTTTAACCAACATGATATTTTTTTCATGCTAAAACATAAAAAATGATTTTGGTCATGTTGGAATATTTAATTTTGTGAAAGCACTGATGGCTTATAATGGACACTTGCATCATTTAATGTGTATCAGTGTGTGAGTCGTGCTGATCCTAAGAAGGAGAAAGAAAGATTCAAGCAGGTCAAAGAGATCAAACTCAGGGAGGTTAAGGAAGGTCAGTTAGAAGGAATGTGGCTGCACACACACACACTTATCAGTACTTTACACCCATAAAAATACCACCCCCCTGTAGTTAAGACAAAGGAAAAGTACTGACATCCAGAGAGCGGGGGATGTTTTTTTGGGGAAGTTTCTCTTTACAGGGTGCGGATGCTGTGGATGCAACTTTTTATTCCTGCAGCACACAGAACTTCCTGAAGATGTGCCCGACTGGAGCTGTATGAAACATTGAATTTTGTCTAAATGACACATAACAATCACTTTATTAGACTGTCACATATTCTGTGGCAGAAAAGTTCTTTAGTGTGCAGTTTGAGGGGAGTTGAACGGTGGCTCAAGCTCTGGAGATGCAGCTGTGCCATTTGTCCCATTGAACTGATGTTACAAAAAAAATATCAGCTCCAAAGTAAGGATGTCTTATTTCACTAAATGCCTGTTGCCTCCACTCCTGTCCAACAATATGTTGCACAAATCTTCATCCTCCGTTTATAACAATCAGCCTGCATGCTGAGGCTGTTCATTTAGCACTGCTGCTGTTCATTTACTGGTCAGTCACATATAACCTGGGCTACAGCTGTAGGGGTTAACTGTGCACTTGGCTTGTATGTATTATTGTAGACTGAGTCGCAAAGTGTTGATGGAACTTTCACCATCATTCAAATAAAGCTGTCAGGACCACTGCTCCTGCCCCTGACTGGTTGACAGCCCTGTTCTCTCTCTACCTCTTCCTCTCTCTGGATGTGGTCGTGGCTCTGGCTGAGTAAGTGCCGATTACAGGAGTGGACACAGCTGTGATGGAGGTTGAGTCACCTGCACTCAATTATCCAGCCCTGCTATTTAAGCCTGGTTCAGACGTCTGCTCATCGCCAGAATGTAGACTCTCCTAAACCGCTCAGGCCTCCTGGTGAATGTTAGTAGTTCCAAAATCTGCCTTGGCTAGCATTGGTTTCCTCTGCCTCCAGCTCACTGACCAGCCTCCAGCCTTGTCTTCCTCCTGCCACAGCCGAGAGGATTCGTAGCCCCACTCCAGCCAAACCAGCTCCTCCTGGCTCAAGCTGGGTATTGGATTCCTCCACCTTTCCCCGTCAGCTCCAGCCTTTGTCTACAACCTCTGCCCAGCCACTGCCAACTCCATTCTGCTCAGCTCTGCAACTGTTCTGCCCTGCTCGTCCTGATTCCTGATTCCTGATTCCAGCCTCCAGCTTCAGAATCTCAGCCGGACTTGGATTGCCTAGACCAGATCCTGAAACTTGGCAGCTAAGTGTTGTAGTTTCACCTGTCAGCTGTCTACTATTGTTTTGCACACCCGTATCTGCTTGTAGCCCCAACTTAAGCTCTGCCTGCACTCTGCCAATAATTCTTAGTTTTGGTTTTCCAGCTCCTGTAGGCTACTGTTGTACTTTTGGGGCCTTTAGTTTTAGTTCCAGAGGAGTGGCAGCTTCTGTTGTAGAACTAGCAACCCTTAAGGTTTTCTGAGCTCTATGTGTTTTCTGGTCTGTGAATTCTGTAAATAAACTTGTTTAAGTCTCTAAGTTGGGTCTGTGTCTTGTGTCCGCATTCTGGGTTCACTGAGTAGAACAGAATACTTTGTTATTGATTCCCTATTGGGGGAAATTTATACGCCACAGTAGCATCAAAAAATATAGAAAGTACAAGAAAATAACACAGTAATATGCATCCTGGTGTCCACACACAGCAGGTCCAAGGCCCTACCATCTCCGGTTGGGCAGTCCACATACTGGCAGAATGTAGGGAGAGTGGTAGGGAGCGACGAATGATTTAAGTCTCCTGAGATGATGATCAGAGACTGACGGTGTGATGTTTGGGACACTGAACTATGGATGAGCTCACAGGCTGCAGCAGCATCAGCCGAGGGGGGATGTAAACTGTAATCGCCAGGACCTACGAAAACTCCCTCGGCAGGTAAAACGGCAGCAAACCAGCAGTTCAACATCCTTCATGTAGCGCTGCTCTGTAACACTAATGTGTCCAGCATTACACCATCTGTCATTCACATACATGGCGAGTCCCCAGCCTTTCTTCTCACCACTCTCCCTTCAGCTCCGGTCCGCTCTGACCAGGTGAAATCCGTCCAAAGTTACGAGCGAGTCCGGAGTGAGTTCGTTCAGCCATGACTCTGTGAACCACATGAGGCTGACCTCCCGATGCTCCCACTGCAGCCGGGTCAGCGCTGTTAGCTGTTAGCTCTTCCAGCCCGTTAGGGAGAGACCTCACGTTTCCCATGATGATGGACAGCTTGCAGTGTCTCCTCTTCATCCAACGCTTCATTCCTGCCCTACATCTCCTTTTCCTCCAGCTCATCAGGGATATCCGGTCTTTCCCACAATGGTAGCTTGGCCTGGCTCAGTGCCAACAGCTGTTCACAAGTGTAATAACAATAGAGCCATGGCTCAACGGCTCGCCAGACGCAGACCCCAAAAACTTGCAAAAAAAAGCATAGAAAAGACCAACAAAAATGCTATCTCCATCTCCAATGTTCCCGCACAGCTGTAAGTAGCCAAAAACACAGAAAGTAGGTAGGAGCCGCTGTAACTGGCTGCCACTCTCACAGCGCCATAGCAACAAAAAAAAAAGGAAGAAAGTTGTGCATTAACAGCACCAATATGTGATTTATTTATTTTTAAATCATCAATAATATCCAGAGTCTGATCTTAATCAGACTCTCTGGACTCTCTGCAAAGTCCAACTGGATGGTTGCATAACCGCTCATCCAGCAGCAGTATTTAATCAAATGCAGATCCAGTTCTCTTCTCCACCCTCAAAGTCTCAGCCCATCTGGATGTTTGCCGAACTCCTCATCCAGCAGCAGTATCCGGTTCTCCTTCTCGATCTACAGTCCAGCAGCTCTCCTCCTTCTCAGCTGCCTCTTTTTGTTTGAGTTCTATCTTTGCTTCAGATATGGCTACAGCTGGTAAGGTAGGTGCATAATTCTAAATGGGATTGTGTTTTTCAAAGTGTAATAATAGTGTAGGTAGTAAAACAAATCTATACACTTAACCTCACAGTAATAGATTTTACTTGGAAATACGACTTTCAAGTGTTCATAAAATGTTTGAGGTTCATTTAGTGGTTACAGTGTGGCTGGGTGCATCTAATGTTCCTGCTCATACCTGAAAATGCAATTAAAAAGTGTTTCAGCGCTCTCATGTGTTGTGATTAACTTACATCTCTTTGCATATGCATGTTTATTTCATTCTACTTGGAGTTAGTATTCTACCTACAATAAAATGTACAATAGTTAAATGCTTCAGTGAAATACTGCATGTCCTGATTCAACCTTTCACACAGTTTGAAAATATCCTAACTTTAGATAACTGTGGATACTATCATTGACCAAATGGTAGGAGGCCAAAAAACATAATAGTGAAGGCCAAAGAAC